TTCACGGGCTTGAGCTAGTCTATATAATAATATCGAGCAGTACACAACTATGATGGGCCAGACCTCCGGCATCTCACGCATGCCCGAGAAACTCGGCAAGACCCGTCAACTTGGCAGGACTCGAGCCGGGCCGAGAAGACCGAGAAGGGCCTCTTTTGTGCCGAGGCACTTGGGCAGTACTCGTGCTGGGCCGGAAACACTGAGAATAGCCTCTTTCGTGCCGAGGCACTTGGCAGGATTCGTTCCGGGACATTATGGACAGTATCTGACCGGGGCCGCCCCCCGGGAGACCTGGAAACTTGGCAGGACTCAAGCCGGGGCCAGAACAGGCCAGAACGTCTCTTTGTGCCGAGGCACTTGGCAGGACTCGTGCCGGGGCATTATGCACGGAAGCCCGGCCTTTGGGAGCTTGGCAGGACTCAGGAGCATGCACCGGCCGAGACTTGGGGCAAAATTTTCACAGGACCTTAGCAGAAGTTGGGATTCAAAGCATGCTGGGATGAGAATGAAGGGCCTTTGTTGTATATTACGATAAATGCTCATACTGATGAATGTCCGACAGGATGGGCCCAGGACAAAAGAAAAAGGAGGGGCTAAGCAAAAAAAAAAAAAATGGGAGCTAGGCCTATAGCGAGGATGGTTCCAGAACTAAAAGAAAAGGGAGGGAGACAGGTGTAATACATCCTTCTTCTTACCGTCAATTTTTGATGGGCTTACCCTAGTATTTAAATAATAATATGTGTCTGTGCAGGAAGCGGAGGGTTGGGCAGAAAGTCCTCTAGCTGACCCAAGAGACTCGCCACATACACAATCAAGTCCTGAAGCTTGTTGCCCTGTAGATAAGGATTGACCAAGTAGTGTGCGCAGGATATCCCGAATGGCGTCCAGTTGGTGAGTAACCCTCCCGACTGCTGGAGTTTCAGTATTCGGGAGAGTCCACAATGAATTGGGCCTCGCTGCTGATCTTGTGGCACTCCGTAAGAAAGTGGCGGACGGTGTCATTTCAATGAAAGTCTATTTATTGTACAGTATATGCCATAGTATTGTAAATATTTTCTTTATATATTTTGAATATCTTGATATGGTTTATATTGTTATCCTCCTGTGACAGGACTTTAAATTGCGTGGACGACTAAAACCCGAAAGAAGACCAATCCCCGCACTACTCATCCAGTAACTCAAACCATCCTGTGGATAATAAGCACAATGCCGCGCCGTTGGGAAGGAAAAAAAAATACTTCGCTTCATCATCACCCTCTCCACCAACCCCGGCACCACACACTCACACATGGAATCCTTCACCACCCCGTCTGTCTGCATCATCGTGCCCTGCAAAATATCATATGTCAACTTCTCACTCTGCCGATACTTCTGCGTCTTCAACATCCTCGCGGGCCGATTAAACAACCCCAAATCCCTCTCGGGCTGTACCAGCAGCAGCGGGCTATTCACGTCCGCGCCCATTCCCATCTCCCGTCCGATGGAGCTGCTTCCCCCCAGCGGATCGCGGGGAGCCGTTCCCTCGTACAGGTCTGCATATTTCTAAATCCATTTGTTTTCCACTTTTACGATGCAGGATTTGAGGGAGTCGACGGTGGCGGGTGGGGTTATGTGTGCGCGCTCGATGCGGCCGAGGGCGGTGTGGACGGAGTCGAACGCGGCGGATGAGCTGGTCTCGCCGTCACGGTTGTAGAGACGGTAGTAAACTGCCCGTAGCTGGTTAAATCGTGTGTGCGAGTCGAGATAGAAAGCACACCGTATCTGTCGAGTGGAATCTCGCGACTCGCAAAGTCTTCGACTTTTGGGCGCGCCTTTCTCTCCTCAACGCTGAGCTCCTCGAGGAAAACAATCGCAAGCGGGTTGTCAGAGCTCGCGCCGTGCCTCCCACCACCCGTCAACTCAACCGCTGCGTCGTCTCTCATCGGCTCCGAGTCGTACATGCTCGCGTAGATCTGCGTCCCGCTTGTTGAGGTGATGGATTGGTAGGGACTGGGTGGACTAGGACTGGATTGGTATGAGCTGGATCCGTACGAGTATGTGCTGGACCTGTAGTCGGATGGAGATGTGGTAGACGATGGGGACGCGAGACTAGTACTGTCCGCCCGAAGAACAGAAGATCGTCGAACAAGTTTCCCATTGGGTGATGGCACTGAACCGAAAAGTCGACTGAGTCTTCGCGTTCCGGATAGTGATGTTCGAGACGACACCGATGACGGCGCCGAGGGCAAAGATCGGGACGATGGCGACACCAGCTGCGCCTTCGGGGATTCCTCCACCGAGATCGTTCGGTCGGGAAGCCCTTCCGCAGCTAGGATTCGGCATTTCAGCATGCTCGCAAGATGCGGTGGCGGCACTGAGCGTGCGAGTATGCGACCGACGAAGGGGTCTGGGCGGCTGGCTGCTGCTTTGACGGGGACCGCGCCACTCGGCGTGTATATGCGATAATGGACTGCATCGACCGCTTCAGCGATAAGGATCAAAGACTGAGAATTTGCCTCGTACCGGCGTAGTCGGGGGCGGTGACCAGCGAAAGCGGGGGCGGGGTGGGCAACGGCGGCAATGGCGCGGATCTGTAGGACGGAGGCGAAGAGACCGTGCGCGTTGACACCGAGTTGGCCAACGACCTAGAACGTATACTGAACGGAACCTCAGATCTGTAGGATGGAGCCGACGAGCCTGTGTGTGACATGAGAGCTGTGGTGGGAGAGAACAAGCGCACGCTGATATGAATCCAGCACGCGGCTTCGCTCAATCAAGAAGTCGACAGTAGCAGGGCGGGAATATACATGTGGAGCTAGATTTGATCGGAGTCAATAGTGTCGTTCAAATATCTCCTACTTGCTCTCCTACTCCGGCTCCTACTTCTTGCCCCGCAAGCAATTCTGCCCGGATTCCGATAAAAGTGGAAAGGGTTCTTATTTTATACCCCTACAACATCTGTGCATATTTTCCTGCTCAGTTTATTGATTATTTCCCGAGAAGGATGAAAGAGTAGGAGAAGATTCGTTCAATTTTGAACGGCCTAGCCAGCATTTTTCCCGAGTAGGAAAACTTCATCGTATTTTTTATACATAATCCAAGCAATGTTAAGTGTAGGAAATGAGCCACATTTTACCTACTTGCGCATGCCTTCTCAGCGGTGAAATTATTTTTTGAAAATATGGACTGGAAGTACAAAAAGGGACCAGAGTAGGAGCTAAATTTGACAGAAGGAGCATCAAAGCTCCTTTTCATGTCAAACTTCCTTTTCCTACTTGCAAGTAGGAAAGCAAGCAGGACATGAGTAGGAGAGCAAGCAGGAGATATTTGAACGACGCTAATGTCCTAGATTAAGACAGCGCTATTAACGGTAAGGCCGCCGATCCGGTGGAAAAGGGAGTTGTTGGCACCTCCTCGTCTCACAGGTCGGACTCCATTTCCAAGAGTACCCCAGTCCATTGCCTGCATTTCCCGATTTTTCTTTTTCATCTTTAAACTAAACCGGAGCTCAATATTGAATCTTGAGATGAGCTGTCATTGCAGACTCTACAATGGGAATGTCAGATGATGTACCTGGATGGAGGAAACAGACAAATGACACCCGTACTATGCCATCGGGAGGAATTGGAAGATCATGGACGGACAGGAGCGCGGGGAGAGCCCGGAATGGATGAAAATGGTTGATTTGTGAGGGCACCGAAGTAGAATCGGATTTAGTGGAGAATAAAACGAGGAATGGAGAGTTTTATCAACTTACCCCGACAGAAAAAGAAAAGACCTCCAGAGATACACTGTGACCCCGACCCCGAATCGAACGGGGATTTCTGGATACGTGGACAGAAATTGGCAAAAGGCAGCAGATACGGACGTACGCCATGGGGTTGGAGATGAGGTGCGAGTATCGCGGCCTCGTCCGAGAGTGAATTTATGCGACTCGGAGGCGGAATTATGCGAGGTCAAATGTGTATCTGATAGCTAGAAATCAGCGGCAATCTGCAAGTGCATACCCAGCTAAATACTGCAGAGAGAGAGAAAGCACCCCAGAAATCGAGTGGGGAAAGAAGTAGGATCATCGGCTCAACAGTTGAAAGGAAGGGGTCCGAGAAGAAAGAAAGATGCCGAAATGCAGCCAGCGAAAGGTAGGATGGGGAATGGGAGGTCGGGGTTCACTATAGATGGCACGAAAAATATGGGGGTGTGCACTGAAATCGGGGAGAAGCGTTAGGCGAGGTTGTCGTTGCGAGCACCGAGAATCGACGCAAGCGACGGTGTCAGCTAACGCGGCGGCCAGAATGGTCGTTGTACTTGGGTGGTTTGTCATAGGAGGCGTTTCTCGGAGATCGGGTACGCCGAAATACTCTACCGAAGCGTCGCATTGGCCTCAGTGGCTCGAAGAAGGTGGTGGTTTTGAGCAAGCAGCAGCCCAGATCACACTCCGATCACACCGCTGCAATTGACCCGCCGAATTGATGCCGCGGCTCCGAGTCTCCTTGTCCCGAAGATTCATGCCGCCGTGTGTATCTATCTCTACATGCGAATTCTCTACATCTGCTCCCCATCCTTCCAGTCTCGCACGCGGCCGTCTGTGATTCAGATAAACGTATTCCCATTTCGTATTCTTCGAGGTGGACCTACCACAGGTCAGGGACGGCTTCTCCGTTGTGGGTATATATATGAAACTTTATGTTACAGTGAATACGAGGATACTCACCGTCAGTGTTCGAAGGCAGTGACCGCGGGTTCCCTGCAAGGGAGATAGGTGGGAATTCAATTGGATGACATATGCGTCGTAAAGGAGAGAAAGCGGGCCCTAGAGATGAATACTCATGCTGCGCGCAATCGCAAATATATTCGGTTTATGGGCCCACCTACTCACCCGTAATTTTATCTGCTTTCAAGAACACGGTGGCCCCGATAACACTGAGGGGAATCTGCGGTAAAACATCGGATTATTCGTCCTATGTATGTCTTTCAAATCACTCACCTCAAGAGAAAAAATTGTTTCGAACCCATCAAGACTATACCGTCGGGAGGAATCGAACCTCCGTAGCGCCCGCAAGCCGTGATGTGTCTTCTCAAGAGAACGCGAGGGGCCTGCCACTAGCCAACGACGACGTTCCGGGTAAGAATGGGTGCGTGTGGATGAGCGTAGGCTGCACCGCATACCTGCGAGCAGCGAGCCCGGGAAAAGAGAGGAAGAAGAAAATTGGAGAGGTAAAGCGAAACGACCGGCCTTGAGAGGACCGGTGATTATCTTTTTATAGGTTGGATATCGAAATCCGGACAAAAAGTACCAATTTTTTGGACCCAAAAAAGTCGAAAGTGACCGCTTTGGCGAAAATTTGATTTCTGCAGTCTCAGAAAGCGTGAGAAAATAGAAAAAGTCCGGACAAAAGTTCAAAATGGCCGATTTTCAGTATCCAACCTCCACAGGGCACAATCACCGGTCCTGCCTTGAGTCGATCAGCAGAGATGGCGGTCACGCCGGATAGACATAGTCACATATGCGCATGTATGTAGATGTTCGCGCATATGCACATCGTTTCCGAATTCCTGTCCGGGGAGGCCGCCTGGGTTTGTGTACTCGCGAGGGGAATTGATCTCGCCCGGGATGGTGCGCAAGCCAAAGTCGAAGCAGGGATGGTTGGAGGCGAAAGGTTCACATGCAACGGCGTTATGTGAGTCGGAAGATGTCCTATACATAACCGAATCGGATACACAAGAAAAGAATGCACAGGGGGCGTTTAGAAAATATCGAAGGGCTTTGGTGGAGTGACGTTTGGCGGGAAAGAGCACTTCATGGCCCCATCATGATTTAAGGGAGAGTTCGAGCGAGCCAGTTGCGCTGGCGGCTGGAGCGGTGCGGGTTGGCGAGAGTTGTTGGGAATCCTGGGCTTGGCATACATAATCCGGCCAGTAGTCGTGACTTAGATAAGTAGAGTCCTTGTCTTTCCGGGATATACCGTGAAAGTTTATTGTTTCGACCAGCAGGAGTAGCAGTGGGCAAGATTCGGAGAATGGAACGTTGCCTGATGGCGTGGGCCCGTCCCCAGCTGAACAGGACCCCTGAGAATACCGCAACAAGGTAGGATTCCAGATTCCAAATTTTGGAATTTTTGTCCGGACTATACAAGTGAACGAGGTCAAAAATTTTGTCCGGACTGTACCTCACACCGTTGAAAATTTCGGATTTTTTTGTCCGGACTACACCTCAAAGGTCAAACAAATTGCAAAAAATCCTATAAATTCCCCCAAAAAACCAGCAAATATCTAAGGCTTGTGTACAATGCTAGATTAACACCATCGTCCTCCTCGATGTCCAGTAGATTAATATTACCCTTCCCCCTCTTTTGAACAGTATTCAAGCTCGTGGCCATCTACACCAGCTCTGAATGCTCGTGGCAGCATCTGGTAAACAGGATTACCATCTTCCCTGACACTTCTGCCATTGTATGATTTATATGAGTGAGATTAGAAAAGGTGGTTTGGAAAATGAATAATATTCTGTGCCACTTGGTGGCCCATACTCTCGCAGTAATAACTGATCAAGACAGACAATGGATTTCTGGGCCACTCACTTGGCCCGTGATTGCGTGGTGGTTTTGATTGCAAGGCAGGTACTGTACAGATGTGTAGGGAGGCGACGGTCACGGTCACGGCGCGCCCGTCGCGTCGCCGACGTCGCGGGCGGGTCACGGTCACGACGACCTCCGTCGCCAATGAAAAACAGTGACAATTTAGAAAAATTCCTAAATAAAGGGGGAATCTCATATTTCCATTAAAACAGAGACAATTTACAAAGGCACTCGTAAGAATTGCTCTAAGATCCTTTGAGGATCCTCCAATTCACCAAAAACAGGTAGGAAATTTGGACTTTGGTTGCCCAAATTGGCGACGGTCACGGTCACCAGCTACATCGTCGCGTCGCCTTCGGTCGGGGTGCCCTGTCACGGTCGTCGGCGCGTTGCCTCCCTACACATCCGTACAGTAATATATATATCAAGTTGACTCAAGTCGAACAATGGCCATCAGAAATTTTGTCCGGACTCCGTATCCAACCTACCTGCGCCCAAAATTTCTGTCTGGACTAAGAATCCGAGGTCGGGACGGTCCGGACCAATTCAGTCCGGACTAGTATCACAGCTCGGATCAATTTTCAATTTTTTTGTCTGGACTGTTGAATCCTACTTTGTTGCGGCGGTATTCTCAGGGGTCCTAGCTGAACGCGCACACGGGCCTCTTGGTTTCCTCGGGTGACGGGCTCTCTTCTCGGGGTCTTAATCTCTTCACGGTCGAGAATTTGCAATGGCACTTCTGCACAACTCATCCCTTACACTAATAGGTCGCGTGCTGCTCATCTTTCCACTCAGAACTCTCCAACGACTTCTCCTGTATCATCTTTGCCGCGCCAATATCATCTCGCAGATATCCTTTAAGCCTCGTTTAAGCCATTTATGATCTGATAACTGTTGCATTCTAGCCAAATTCTAGCTTATTTCAATTTGACACCGACAGCGAATGTAATGCCACACAGCCTGCGGCAAACCTCTCTTCCCACGAACGTATAAATCATCTGCGATTCCTTAATAATGATATGGCACATATACTGTATAATAATTAAAAAAACTCGACACCTTTGAAAAAACGTTAGAAATGACACTACTTGGACAAAAGGTTGGACAAAACACACAGGTCGAGACTGTGTTTCAAAAAAAATGGCACAACTAGTATTTGAGTGCTGAAAAACACACAACTGAAACTTAGGCACTTTAAACACACCACTCATCCACACACCATTACCCTCTCGACCGAATCTGTGGCGAATCGGCAATCCCCGTATATGCTGATCCGGGATCGGCTCAAGATAAGATGTGGTCTTTGCGGCCGATTGATGACTGCTGTACACACTAGAAGGCACGGCTTCTGGAGTTTAGAGCTCGATGAGTCGACCACAATTCGAGTTCTTGTTAGTCTTTATCTGGTCGCATCGTCGCATGGGCCATAGGGCACATCTGGACCCTTTTCATCATCATCTGAGATGGCTCAGTCCGATTCGGGCCTGAGTCAACCCAAAAAATTGATGTTCCGCGCAATGCAAAGATCCCAAGTCCAAGTTGCATGTTTTGGAAGACATTAAGGGTTGGGAACAAGTCGCGTCACTTTACCAAGTCGTGTGTGAATTACCTCCCCCACCAAGTGACGCGTATTTTTTCCCACTGACCTAAGATGCATATTTTTAACTACGTTTTAGCACAATTATTATACACTATATGGCCCATATAATGACGATCGTCACGCAGAAATCCCCTGTTCAACTCGGTATCAGGTCATCGCCGGGAGATGCATGCATTCTTTTTCCACACTGAGTGAAGAGAAAAAAATGTTTCCTGACCGTCTCGTTCAGTTTTCAATTCTCAACCACAATGCATAAGACGCTACATTTTCTCAAACAGCTCCAACCGAGATTTCATTTTGCCACTCTCAATACCGACATACTACTAACTGTAAGCAGGCGGAGAGGCAGCGGCAAGATCCTCCAGATGTTGCAGTCGCTCTTCAAGATCCCGAGTGCGCCCTCCGCCTGGATGATGCGGGTCCCACGTCATAACCACCGGCGCTGCGTGACTAGTATGTGAAAATGTTGTGCAACGACTGAAACGTGCTGCTCACCGTGCTTTGAGTTAGAGCTTGTGGAGGCCGTTGGGATTAATGCAGAAGGCATCGGGGCCGTTGAGACTGGCTCGGACCACATTGAAGCAGTAGAGACTGGCGCGGACGACATCGCAGCCATAGAGACTGGAGCGAAGGGCACGGCTGACATGGTTGGTGTTTCTGGTGAAGCCTCGCTGGAAAAGAATCCCGCGGGCGGCGTCTGGTATGGTTGTGATATTGGGTCGCTTGGAATCGGCTGTCCAGCGGGTGACCCCCGATGGCGCAGAAATATGAATAGGGCGCCGAGGATGGCCAGTCCGCCGACGACGCCAACCACGGCGCCGGCGATTGCACCGGTGTTAGACTTGTGTGCGGTTGCAGCAGAGGGGCTCGGAGATTTCGCGCTCCCGGATGGCGGGGTGCTGGAAAAAATATGCACCATCGTCAATGAAACAATTAATGGCTAGCAGTAAAGTGAGACGCACGATGGCGATGATCCACCAAGTGGTTGGCTCCCCGCAGTACTAGTATTAGTGAGGCTGCTCGGGATACTGGAAGTACCATCTGGCTGACTGAGAGTTACTACAGCATAATCGAACAACCCTGCACCCCCGCCGAAAGAACTGGTCTCAAGTATCCACGTCACCGTATGCTGGACCGTCGAGTCCAGATTGCTGGCGGAGAAAAACAGCGAATTGTACACATAGCCTGAGCCTCCATAATAGTGGAAACCCGCTATGGATGGATTGCTGGTCACTGCGAATGAGATGTTCCCAGCCTGAGGGACGAGGACGTCGATTCCGTAGATGTATACGGCGGCGCCTGAGAGCATAGCCGAAATCTGATCAGACGAAAAGAGGCAGCAAGCGTTCGACGCACCTTGGAATGTGAATGCACCGGAGCGGAGGGAGCCGTCAGGGTCTGGTAAAAATGACGCGGCAGGCGCGCATTGACGCGCACCGGCGCGGCACTGACGCGGCAGTGACGCGGCGTTGACGCGCATTGATGCGGCGTTGACGCGGCATTTATTGAACTTACTGGTGATCTTTCCTACACTTTAAATGGACTCAAACTACACTCAGAAGCAGTCAGATAAGAGATAGGAGAGGAGCTGACATTGTTCAGGTCAAATATGATTTTCTTTTGTAGGAGAAGTCCCGCTTTTTTAAAAAACATTGTGATCCAGCCTTTGCAAACTACTTTAAACTTGGAAGGAAACATTCAATGACATCTCAGAATGTCGGGAAGCTGCTTTAAATCCACCGCCTGCCGCGTCAACGCCGCGCCGGTGCCGCGCTGACGCCGCGTCAATGCCGCGTCAATGCCGCGTCAGTGCGCGTCAATGCCGCGTCAGTGCGCGTTAACGCCGCGTCACTGGCGCGTCAGTACCACGTCTCTGCGCGCCACTGCCGCGCCAAAGCGCGCCAATCCTGGGGTGTGGCTAACACCCAGCTGAGCTCAAA